CTTTTTAACCCCCCCCCTCCCCCAGGGCCCCGGAACCCGGGGGTTTGTTTACCCCGCGCGGGCCTTTTTTTTTTTTATGGGGCCCGTGGGGCTTTTAAAGAAGCCCCCCCGGGGGGCGGGTTTTTCCCCCCCCCGCTTTCGGGGGGTGGGTCACGCCTCTCTCTCTCTCTCTCTCTCTCTCTCTCTCTCTCTCTCTCTCTCTCTCTCTCTCTCTCTCTCTCTCTCTCTCTCTCTCTCTCTCTCTCTCTCTGTCTCTCTCGCTCGCTCGCTCGCTCGCTCGCTCGTTTTTTCGCTCGCTCTTTCTTTTTTTCTCTCTCGCTTGGCCCCGCGGCCTTTTTCCCTGGCTTTCCCTTTCTCCCTTTCTCCCTCTCTCTCTTTCTTTCTCTTTCTTTCTCTCGCCCCCTCTCTCTCTCTCTCTCTTTCTCTCTCTCTCTCTCTCTCTCTCTCTTTTTCTGGGTTTTTGGCCCCCCCCCCCCCCCCCTCGCCCCCTCTCTGCACGGCCGGCCAAATCTCGGCCGCATCTCCGGCTGTATCTCGGCCATATCTCGGAGGATAGGAGATCCCTGCGGCTCGCAAGGCCGGCTCCTTTGCGCTCGTGAGCGAGGTGCGCAACTTCCTAGACACTTCCTAGACACTTCCTAGACACCTCCTAGACACCTCCTAGACACCTCCTAGACACTTGCTAGACACTTCCTAGACACTTCCTAGACACTTCCTAGACACTTCCTAGACACTTCCTAGACACCTCCTAGACACTTCCTAGACACCTCCTAGACACTTCCTAGACACTTCCTAGACACCTCCTAGACACTTCCTAGACACTTCCTAGAAGGCCGGCTCTTTCGCGTTGGTTGAGCGAGGTGCCGCTGCACACACACACACACACACACACACACACACACACACACACACACACACACACACACACACACACACACACACACACACGCACACACACACACACACACACACACACACACACACACACACACCTCACCCACGCGCACCTTGAATGCCGTGCGGCTCCTGTCGTCTAGACGTGGAGTCGCGAGGGACTAGCCTGGCCCTTGCCCCGCCACCTCGTGTGTGTGTGGAGAAGTCTGCCTCACCCTACCTTCCCTTAGGTTCCACTCCTGTTCTAGGAAGTGTCTAGGAAGTGTCTAGGAAGTTGCGCCTACCCTTCCCTTAGGTTCCACTGCTGTTCTTCGCGTCGGCTAGTTTCCGGGGGGTTGAGGGCAACGCGCCTTCTTAACTCGGTACTGATGAGCGGACAACTTCACTAGGCTTTCTCCGGGTTCGTCGTCAACGTAGCGTCCTTTCTGCTCGTGAAGCGGACGTCGTCGGCGACATTTCCTAGACACTTCCTAGACACTTCCTACACACTTCCTAGACACTTCCTAGACACTTCCTAGACACCTCCTAGACACCTCCTAGACACCTCCTAGACACCTCCTAGACACTTGTCCTAGACACTTGCTAGACACTTCCTAGACACTTGCTAGACACTTCCTAGACACTTCCTAGACACTTCCTAGACACTTCCTAGACACTTCCTAGCCACTTCCTAGACACTTCCTAGACACTTCCTAGACACTTCCTAGACACCTCCTAGACACTTCCAGACACTTCCTAGACACCTCCGAGACACCTCCTAGACACCTCCTAGACACTTCCAGACACTTCCTAGACACCTCCTAGACACTTCCTAGACACCTCCAGACACCTCCTAGACACTTCCTAGACACCTCCTAGACACTTCCTAGACACTTCCTAGACACCTCCTAGACACCTCCTAGACACTTCCTAGACACCTCCTAGACACTTCCTAGACACCTCCTAGACACCTCTTAGACACTTGCTAGACACCTCCTAGACACTTCCTAGACACTTCCTAGACACTTCCTAGACACTTCCTAGACACTTCCTAGACACTTCCTAGACACTTCCAGACACTTCCTAGACACTTGCTAGACACTTGCTAGACACTTGCTAGACACTTCCTAGACACTTCCTAGGCACTTCCTAGACACCTCCTAGACACTTCCTAGACACTTCCTAGACACTTCACGTCGTCACGCAACTTCAGCCGACCCGCCGGCGTGCGCGCCTGTGAACGGCGCCTCTTCACACCTGCGGCTGTGAACCCAGGTCTCGCTCAAGTTGATCACGATGGCGCGCAACGGCGGGCTTGTGCTAGCGTCCGCGCTGTTCTTCGGCGAGACAATCACAGCGCTCGAGGCGGGAGATATGAGGGAGATATGCGGGAGATATGCGGGAGATATGCGGGAGATATGCGGGAGATATGCGGGAGATATGAGGGAGATATGCGGGAGATATGCGGGAGATATGCGAGACCATCACAGCGCTCGAGGCGGGAGATATGCGGGAGATATGCGGGAGATATGCGGGAGATATGCGAGACCATCACAGCGCTCGAGGCGGGAGATATGAGGGAGATATGAGGGAGATATGCGGGAGATATGCGAGACCATCACAGCGCTCGAGGCGGGAGATATGCGGGAGATATGCGGGAGATATTAGACGCGCTGTGAACAGGCGAGCTGCTGTGCACCGGGTTTCTTTTTCTCTCTTCACAGCTGTGACGGGGGTGACGCGCTGTGAACAGGCGAGCTCGGCCGACGCGAATTTCTTTTTCTCTTCACAGCTGTGACGGGGGTGACGCGCTGTGAACAGGGGATCGGCTACGCGGGCCTGCTTCTCTTCTTCGCGTTGTACACCGTCGCCAAGAACCAGGCGCGCCGAGATTGTGCGAGATCGCGCGAGGCGGTCCCAGATACGTACACCGTCGCCAAGAGCTAGGCGGTGACTCGATACTGATCGAAGGGGGGGGGGGGGGGGGGAAGGGGGGGGGACCTAACCAAGTGCTGGACACCCTAAGGAGCATATTTCTCCCCGGCTTTTCCCCCCTCTTTCCCCC